CCCCCGACTTCTCCTTTTAAGTGTGTTGGGGATGCAGTTAGGAATTAACAGTTTAACACATCTAGAAAGCACAAGACTGAAAAAAGCAGCAATAAAGAAAATAGGTAGAGTCTGCATTCATTCATTCATTTAAAACCTCGTACAACACTAAAGTCTGTAAAGCAAATCACTCCCAGAGGAAGAAATGGCAAAATGAAGATAGCTATGCAAAAACAGAGATGGCCATAGCGAAGAATGAAGAGTCATTGAGTAAACTGGCTCTTCCAATCTCTCTAAGTAAAGAGAGAGACAGAAGATTGTCCACAAATGCTCTAGGCAGTTGCTTTTCTTGAGGAGACCAAACAACTGTGGTCTCTAGCAGGTTTTGCACACTGGGAGATGAAGGAATAGCCATCTTGCTCAAACTTTAGTTGGTGCCTTTAAAATGACAGTAAGTTTTGTATATTTGCTTTCCTAATTACTTTCTGAAATTGCTTGTTAACTGCTTTTCGGCTATTAGAAATCCGTGGAATGTCAGGTCTGAAAACATTAGGTGAATCTACCTTCAATCCTTAATGAAGGAAAATGAAATATACAGCAAAAGCTAATTGAAACTTTGAGTTTATAAAGTTATCAGCCAATTAAGGCCCAGATAAATTTGAAATAAGATTTTGAAATTAATTATAAATAATTCTTCCTGTGAGAAAGTCATTTTTTAATTTTTGCTAAGATATAAAAGAGATAAACAATTTTAAAAACTGGACACTAGAAAAAACTAATGATTTTAACTAAAGAAGAATAAATTATCCCGATTAACCAAATGACACAAATAATTACAATATTGGAAATATGGATACTTTTGAAAAATGAAATCTGAACTTAATATCAGCAGTGTTTGTTTCTATGGACAGACTGTATCCAAAAGATGTTTTAGAAGAAAAGGCAGAAGAGGAACAAGCTTTATCTGGCAGAGTTGACATTGAAAGTGGACCTAAAAATAACAGACTATAAGAATGACATGGAAAAAGACATTTCATTGGACATACAAAAGAAATCGGTTGATGTTTTAAAAATCAAAGGGAATTATAAATAATAAGAGAGCAACCTGAATAATTCTTTTGTATTGGACTTACAAAAGAGTTAAAGCTTGGATGAATCCTGTGAGAAGGGGTAAAAATAAAATGAAAAGAAACCAAGTTCTACAACACTGCTTGAATGGACCATGAGTCCCTTCCCAAAAGAAAGAGGACTGAATGCCATGAGGGAACTCAAAGGCTTCTGGATAATCAATAATTCAGTTTGCGTGCTCAGGCGCAACCATTTCATCATATCCAGAATTTTGATAGCCTTTACTCATCTGGACAAAACAATCACTGTATTTCCTGCCCAATCTGAATGGCAATGAACAACTGGGTGTCACCAGTATTGATGACACCTCACCCCAAACCAATGATTTCCCCCTATAATACCATACATATTTTGAATAACATGGAAGGGGGGGGATGCAGCAGTACTTTGTCCACAAAGGAGCAGGGAGTTGAGCATACCAGCCCCTCGAATATCAGCTGTAACTGCCCATTCAGAACAAAGTAGAACCATTGTTATATAGTGCAATGCTGATAGATGCTGTGGCTCAGGAGAGCCATAGTTCTTCATCCAAGTCCCATTGGAGGTTATCCACAAAAGTGAACTCTAAAATCTCCTAAAACATTTCCTATAGGAGCCACTTTGTGAAGACTATTTGAACGATGTGATTTAATCATTCTGACTGACCATTTTAACAAGACACTTACCAAGAGTCCTTAAGACAACAGGTCTAGCTCTCAAATATATCTGCCCAGTCTAGTATAAATTTGCACACGCTGGGATAATAGATGGTACTCTGAAAGACACTCGAATTGTTACTGGATGCCTTAACCTACCTCTCTAAATAAGATCCAATGGAGGAGCTGGCACCTGATGAAAGCTGGGAAGTACGAAAATCGATGAATAGACTCTACATGGGTATAGCAAGATCCAGAGATATTCTTAACAAATGGGGCTATCCAGTGACTTCTGTTCTTTGTGATTGTGGTGACATGCAGACAACAACACATATGTATACCTGCCCTTTGTGTTCTGATCAGTGTACACTTGAGGACTTCATGGCAGCGCAACATCTCAATGTTGCTAGTTTCTGGGCAAGATCTGTTTATTTTGTACATATTTCAATTTTGTATTTTATATTTTTTGTCATATAGTATGCCTTATTTTAATTGTGATGCTTCTGACACAAATAAATAACAAGACATTAGTATCTGTTCAGATGTTATCAATCTGAGCTGTGCAGCACTTTAGATTTGATTCCAAAAAAGAACTTTTGACTATGTAGTAGCATATATAGCACAGTTCTTCAACTTCTTAAAGTAGCTACATTCTTTCCCTGAGATTACATGGCATCTGCTGAGGGTCAAGAAGCCTAAATAATAACATGAAATGATTGCATGCATCTTATTTATATGGAACTTCATTCTTTATTATCTCTGACAACTGTAATACTACAGATAAGACAAATGTATTATGGAGTGAAATGCCTTCAGTTATATTTCTTTGGAGTATTAACATAGACTGAACAATTAGAAGAAAAATAAAATAAGATTGTATAGCAAACAGATACAACAGGTAAAAGAATATGCCAAATAAATGTACATTCCTTGCAAAGGATAGCTTTTCTCCTTGAAAAAGCTTTCATCAATCTCTGAAAGACTATTAATGTAGCTTCAGATGTAGCCACTGCCTGCATCAAATGGACGTCCACCACTGATGAGCCAGCTTCTCCATAAGATATCAAGATGCTTAGGTGATAGAATTTGGATGATTAATCACCATAAACCATAAATTGGGGGATCCTTCAGATTGTCACTTGTGTTCTGGTCAGCTCAGTGCTTGACTATTGAGATGTACTCTACATGTAAGTGCCCTTGAAGATCACTCAGAAGCTTCAACTGGTCCAAAATAAGCAGTGAGGGGCATGCCTGGGTATTCCCATGTTAACACCTTTGTGCTACACAGGTTGCACTAGTTGCCAGTTTGCTTCTGGGTGTGATTGAAGTGGCTGATTGTTAGTTGTACAGTCAATCTAATCTGGCAGCAATGTTTTCCTTGAGATTCAAATAGCTTCCACCCAACTGGTGTTTCAAAGAGCCCTGAAGACCTCACTCTTCACCCAAGCAAGGGCCATTGAAACTCTTCTTAGATTGTGGGAGTTGTTTTTTCTTTATTCTCATCCAATTTTGTCATTCCTTTTTGATTTTGTTGTTTCCTTATTTTTAGATTTTTAACAATTTGTAAACTACTCTGAGTTGCTGGAAATTGGGCGGCATATAAATTTAATAAATAAATTAAATTAAATAGATCAGAACTATAGACTTGACTGGAAAGCTGGAAAAATATCCTGGAAAAAGACAATGGCAAGCCACTCCGATACTGTTGAAAAAAAAAACTTTATGAAAATGTTCATGAACTCACCAAGGATTGAACTCACCTCTGACATACAACCTTTACCAGGTAAGCATGTAGCACAAAATATTTTATTTCATTTAAGTATGGTTAAAATTAAATTAGCACTATTGTTCTCCAGTCACATACTTAATAATCTGTCATCTCAAAAGTTAAAATTTGGTACAACTTTTAGAGCACTGGGTATTGCAGAGTCAGAAGCCAAGCTATGTACCTGCAATATAAAAATGGACGAAGTTGCACTAAAAGGTAAAGTATACTAGACTCAAGTTCAGCTCCTGGTGACAGAATGGACACAAAGATATTGCTTATTTGACAGCAAGAAAGGAGAGCAGGAGAGAATGCTATAAAAACAATACCCTTCTTCCAGGGTATTTTTTTATTTCCCAGTCCAAGCTACAGCTGAGGTTTCCTAGTGATCTCCCATCTAAATACTAACCAGGCTTGATGCTGAAAGTTCTGTCCTCGCCCTTTTCCGAAGACTTGAGTGAACCCATTTCCCCTTTGTTCTTAGTGCGGTCCTACCATAACTGAGGGTGAATAATAAGTAATCACTTTCCTTGCTTTTCTTGTACAAGTACGTTCCTTTCTCATCCTCTCTCAAGCCAAGGCGCTGCCAAGAGAAGCCCAATGGGCGAACCTCTTCGCGCGGAATCCCCTCTGAGAGCGATTGCGCCATCGCCATGTCGTTGCGCGCGCTTTTCGCTTCTCCCCCCCCCCTTTTTTTTTTTTTTTCTCCTACGGGCATCTTGCCCTGGGCGGCGCGAGCCAATGGCAGGCGGGAAAGCCTTTCCTCTATCTGATGACGACAGCGAGGCACAGAAGAGCGTGCAACCAAACGCCGCAATCGGTCACGGCGACCCGAAAGCTGCCAGGGAGAAGCTGGCTGTTTTTTTTCCCCCTTCCTAGCCTTCCTCGGCACTTTGTGAGCGACGCCAATCGCCGCCATTTTGTGAGCGTGTCCAGCCTCTGCCCCCACCCCCATCCATTCCGCGCGCGCCATTGGTCCCCTTTTTTTCCCGTCTTTCTCTCTCTTGTAGTGGTGAGCGGGCGGGCGCCATGTTTGTAAGGAAGATATAATCAGAACAGCTCATCTCTCCGGCCAACGTGTCCCGTCTTCCTCCCTTCCGCTCTGCCTGTTTCTTCCTGCTGCCTCCTTCCTCCGTATGGTCTGTGTGTACCGAACTCCTCCTCATAAGCTGCCTTTAGCTCCCATCTCTTTTTTTTCCGTGAGGCGCAGGGCAGCCTCCCCTCGAGCGGCCGTTAAAAAAAAAGTGCCCTTCGGTGTATCTTATGTTTGTGTTCCCCCCAATTCAGTAAATACGTGCGTGAAGTCTCGTCCGCCGCTGCACGGGGGGGAACACCTCGCGTAGTCGAGCCCTGTAGATGCAGCACTGCCGCTTCCCTGTGTGAGTGTGTGTGTGTATATTTGTGTGTGCGCACGAGTGCGCGCCGCCTCCACCTCCTCTCCCTGCGCCCTACGACTGGCAGCAGCGTCCTGCCTTCCTCCCCCTTCCTCCTCCTCCTCCTCCCTGCACACAGGCACAACCAGCACAATGGCCTTTGAAAGCCTATTCTCCAATCCCCCAAACCCAGTTCTTGACCAAAACATGCCCGACTCTGACAGGCAACATGCAGGGGACGAAAGGTCGAGTAACGTTCTTCTCTTTCTCTTTCTCTCTCTCCGCTTCTCAATGGTGATAATTAACAGTGATAATAACTAAGAATGATGGTATGCTATGTGATGATGATGATGATGATGATGATGATGATAATGGTGGTAATAACGATGTCTTAAATGTGCCTAGGTGAATTTAAGGAAAGAAAATGTCTATAGCATTGTATGGGGGAAAGTCACCTTCAGACTGAGGTAGGGGTGGGTTTTTTTTCTTTTTAATCTAGATACAAGGATGTCTTTAAGGGTGGGTGATAACTTCAAGGTGCATTTTGCATGGATTTTTTTACATTTCCTTTTTTTACATTTTTTTCATAAAATGCACTTTACATTGTCTGTATGTAATGTCACTGTTGTTCTTAATCCCGTCTCATTGCCATCTGAACTCAAAGGCAGACTGTATCCCCTCATATATGTAACATATATGAAACTGTATAACAATGTATACACCTTACACATTAACTGGAACTCTTTTTTGTATGTGTGTATATATGAGGTTTTGTCAGATTTTTCTCTTTGACAGTTTACAATTCTAATTCCATAATCTTAACAAACCAGAGGCATTTTCTGGTTTGAAGTCCTGCTCCTTTTCTCTCTCTCTTTCTCCCCCCCCCCTCCTTTCTCTGTCTCTGTGCAAATGTTTGTTTTCATACAGATATGGCTTCCTTCACTAATTTGTTTTTAAACATGTGGAAACCTGAAATTATTTCTCCCACATTCTCCAACATGTATGCAAAAATCTTCTTTACATCAAGATTTGTAATGGTGGTCCAATTAACAGACAAGTCTATAATCCCAGTGTCCCTCCACAAGTATGTTCAGTACTGTTTTATGAAAGTGATACAAAACATTACATAATCCCTTATTCATGCAGCAACACAGTAAGTAGAATATAGCCTTTTCCCCTCTTCTACAAACAGGAATACCAAGGAGAATAGTAATTCAAATGACTTGCCCATAGCTACAGTGAATCAGGTCTGGGCCTCATATATCATGCCTTCAAATCAGCACTTTTCACTAACGTAGTTACAAATTGTTGATAAAACAGTGGGTATTTCAAAATGAATACAGCAGTACAGCATTGTTACTTTTAATATTAGTCAACCTGAACTGAACTGTCCAGCAAAATAAAGTTTGCATGTTAATTAGTAGAACCAGAACAAATTATCATATGACTTCCATGATAAGTGACAAACTGTAATAATAAATGCAAGATGCATGCAAAACATAAACTTATTTTTCTATAAAATTAGACATTTAAAAAAATATTCATGTAGTATATTGATGTTGACCAGCCAATCTAAATCTACAAGAGGATCTGTTTAGATAAGTGGAATTATACTAAGGCTAATAAGGACACCTAAACCTCAGAAATTGTATGACTTTGCAAAATAGCCCCTAATGAAATTATTCCTGTTAACCATGACATGCATTAATAATTCCTTATACTCTTTCCTTTTAACCTTCAAGATGTCTCTAATCAATGAAATATATTTTAAGTGGATAACTTTAAAGTTGGGGTTATTTAATTGTTTTTGAGAGAATAGTAGACAAGATTTGTACTTCCTTATTTTGAAGTTCTCTCTCTCTCTGTCTCTGTCTCTTTCTCTCTCCCTCTCTTATTAGAAAAGTCAGGAATCTCAAAACAAATAGTGAAAGTCCACATTCAACTATTTCAAATAGAATGGAGTTATCTTGTCCACTGACTTCCATGTAACATTTTGAAGGAAACAAAGGATGTGCTCTTTTCATTTCAAGAGAGCTCTCATTTTGTTTCAATAAAATGATCTAAAGACAGATCTCAATTATTTAACCTGTGGTGATGGCCCATCTTAGTTCTTAAAAATACAGCTGCCCATTCTTCTGTTCCATTCTAGCACTGACATAGCTAAATATATCTGGAACAGATAAGATAAATGCTTAAATCACTCACTAGTAACTCCCAGAAACTGCATTTCTTGACTATTTCTCTACATGAGAATTCATAAATAAATGGAGTTAGTGTACAGAGCTTAAATTATAAATATAGCTTATTCATGTGTAATTATTTTAACATTTAAATATTTTAACATTAACTCAAATGACCTGTTTGCTAATACAGTTCCCAAAACTTGCATACATTAATCTTTGTCTTCATAATATAAAATAATTTGGAATTTAAGATAACATATGAAATTCAATTAGCATGTCTTTTCAAGTATAGAACTAGCAGTGACAGCCCCAAGTGTTATATTCCATGGAAGGTCATGATACTGATGTCTTAGAAGGTATCATAAAAATGTACAGTCACATGGAAATATTTGCTACTGCTATAGTTGTCAGATTAAACTAATGTCCTTTTTGAAGATGAATACATCACTAATTGCAAGAAGAGATTATTGGGTTCAGGTTTCACTGATATGTTTACTATTTTTATATAATTTAAATGTTTTTAAGTGAGTAATTAAAAGTTTGGTTAAAGTTTGCTATTAAAAATTTGGAAAGAGCCTTTCTCGGTTACGCATTATCACATTTTAGTTTATTAGCTAAAAATGTTGATGTTTCAAATGTAAAACTATTTACACTGTAGTTTTATGGAATTCAATTGAAATAATGGAAAGCATATATTTTTGCATCATTGTATTAGGTAGCTTCTGTTTAGTTTCTATCACATTAAATCTTTTTAAAATCTTTCTTAATAGAATGAAGTTAAAAATAGGTTTTGGAAATGTATCTTCAAAACAGTATTTTTTTCTCAAAGTAACAGCATAAGATGTATTCTTGTTACACTGTTACTCTGCTTTTGTAATATGATATACACATAGATATTACTATGGCAAAAGTATACTTTGTAATTTAAATATTGTATATAAAGTTCTTGTATGTCTAAACTGGGATTAAAATTACATCAGCTGAGTTCCTGAGGCCAGCGTATTGTTAAGTAACTATTACATTAAAGGCATAATTATAGCATCTTACATTTTAAAAAGGTCATCTTCTTTAACTTCACTTTGGAAGCTGGATGTATTAAACACATCTGAATACTTATACATTAAGAATCTTATATAACTGTAGCCTGAAAACTGCCAAAGATTATTTCGTTTATACCCTAGGGAACTTATTGCATGGCTGAGTTAAGTCACTTTCTGAACACACCCTGTTTCTCTGCCAGCTGTGCCAATGTTTCCATTAGCTGTGTTGAATGACAATTTTTTCCTTTGTTCTAAAGTTTTCCTAGTTTTATGTGCATTTTAAATTGGCCTTCGTCAACTTGATATTTTCCTGGAGTATTTGATTACAAATCCCAGAAGTTGATATGTAACTTTGGGAATTATAGTCCAACATTTCAAGGTAATGCCAATTTGGAAAAGGCCAATTTAGATGAGCATAAAAAGTAAGGGAGTTAAGCCTCAGTGTATTATTCAGTGTATTATTATGACCTAGAACACTTCATTCTTCAAATGTAGCTTTAACTCTGTACCTCTTACTAATTGTGAAAATAAAGGGTGTCTATAACAATAGGAAACCTTTGTCTGACTATCATACTAGCTTTTGCTGACAGATTTAGGCATCACTTACTAATGTGTGAGATATATGCTTAGTTTATTCAGTAGTAAATAGATTTGGTTTTGGAAGTCACCATTTCAAACTACAAGGCATAATTATATTCTGAAGTATCAATTTGTTTATGAATAACAGTATACCTGCTAACCCATTTTAATGACTGCCAAATTCCCTAACCCAATGATTTTTCTAAAATCACTATTTTAATTATGAAAATGGTGGCAAACATGATAAAATACCATCTGCAAGCATATCTTGTATTTCTGGGACTTTCCTATGGCCCCACATAGACCCCAAAGGGCATTCTCAGAAAATAAAACAATAGTGACTGCAGTTTCTGTTCTATCTATCTTTGGATGTGTTTTGAATTGTTTTTAGTATAATTTTTATTGAACTTTTTAACAAGATAAAAACAATTCAAATATTAGAAAAAACAAAGAAACAAAGAATAGTGAATAAGAAAATAGAAGAAATAGAAAAGAAAAAGAAAAAAAAGATTATAAAGAAGCAACTTCCGAACTTTTTGGTAGCAATTATAAATGCATTTATATTTTACTCTCTTTTTCCAAACTTATATCATGTTTCCATAAGCTTTGTGCCCACAGTAAAAAAATGACAATAAAGGTTATCTTATCTTATCTTGTCTTAATATTCGGACTCATAAATCAAAATTAATTTTTCTTTCTTTTTTTTCAGCAAAAAGTCCATAAGAGTTTTCAGGCACTGATAAATATAGTTGCTGATCAAACAAGTTAATTTTGCCACTTTTGCTAGTTGTTTCATCTTTTCCAACCATTCCTCCATTGTGGGTATTTCAGAGTCTTTCCATTTTTATACATATAAAAGTATTACAACAGGAATCATGCATAAAAATAATCTCCTATGGCTCTTTTCTTATTAACTGTCTATTAATCTCAGCAAAAAAAAATCTGGTTTCAGTTGAATGTTGATCATTAAAATTCTTTGTATCCTTATATGTATTTGAACCCAGTAATGTCTGGTTTTTTTACAAGTCCACTATGCATGATAAAATTACCCCTCATATTGTCCACATTTCCAACACAAATTTGAAATACTTTTATACGTTCTAGACAATTTTTCTAGAGTCATATATAGTGATACATCATTTTATGAAAATTGTCTTTTAAGTTATAACTTAATGTAAGTTTCAGTCCCATAAACCATATATTTTCCCAGTTCTGTCAGTATATTGTTCCAAAGTTCTTACACCAATTTATTCTACAGTCTTTCACTTGTTCATCTTCCACTTAAAATTTCAATGAACCTTTATGTACTTAATGCAGTTGTATGTTTATCATTTGTACATAGTTCAGTTTCAAATTCTTGTTCAAATTCTTGTTCTGATGCTCTATGTCAAATGTCCTATTATCTACCTTAAATCTTTCTTTTAACTACACATAAAAAAATGAAAACTAAATTTCTCAACAGAAAATTGCTCTCTTGATTTTATCATGTTTTCTATGTTCCTATTCTATCAACTCTCTATATTTTAACCATTTTTCTTTATGTATTGTTTCTTTCCTGTATGCTTCCTATGCTGAGATCCATAAAGGCATTTTCAGGCACAGTCAGGGTTTATATCTGTTCCATATTTTCAGCGCATCACTTCTGATATTCTTAAAATCTATATCAACCTTAACTTTAAGTTGTAACATAGAAAACTATGCCCAAAATTTTCCCTTAATATAATTTAAAAAGCATAAATTATAACAGCCATGAATACAATTTCAAGTTAATACAAGCAATTTTAAATTGTTTGAGTCAGTTTGGTATACAGTAGAGCTAAGGTGGTTGGTAGAAACCAGAAGATAGTCTTCTAGTCTTCCTTTAAGCATGAAAGCCAGCTGAGGGACTTTGGATCAGTCATGCTCTTAGCTCATCTCACAAGATTGCTCTGGAGAAAATCTGAAATGGGAGCATTAGTGTATATGCTGTCTTGAATTAAGCAAAAATAAAATAATACATAACTATAATTTATGTAAAGTAAACTTCAAACAAAGAAAACAGAAACTTATAATATTAAAAATAACATTTGGCCTATTTAACTCAGTAAGCTAATCCATTTATAATATATAATATTTCATAATTATATGTTTTTCTACATTTATTGTAATATAATTATATGTTATATAATGGATAATTCATTTAATTTGTTATTTTTTTAACAATTTTTTTATCTCATATGTATTACTAACTGAGTTCAGAACAAATTGTATTTTTGCTCCACAACAGCAATTTTGTGATGTAAGGCTAAGAATAGGAATAGAAACTGGTCTCCCTGCATATAGTGTCACAGCTTAATCTTTATACTTCATTGTCTCAAAAAATATTTCTTCCAGATTTTAAATCAAAATGTCTTAATCTTCTAGCAGATGTTGTAATGATTGTACCACTGAAAAAGATCTAAATAATTTGTAATGTTGGATTTTGTTCTTTATTACTTTTGCTACTTTCTGCAATCTTCTACAAGTAGTCCTTGATTTGTGACTAATTACTTAACACCCAAAATTATGATGGGCCTACAACATTGCTTAACAGCCTGTAAAGCACTTCAGGCCATCATAACACATCATCCCACATATAAACACATATTCTTGTCACATGACCACATGTTGGGCACATAGCAACCAGCTTACCTTTAACAATTGTTGGAGATTCCATGGTCACATGACTGCAATTTTTGACATTTTTTGACATTTTTCTGCAAAACTGCTCTTTTAGAAGAATTGGTTTGCATTTATGACCATGGTGTTCACTAAACGAGCATAGTGATTTGCTTAATAGAAGCCATTAAAAAATCAGGGTTGGTCACATGGTGTCTTGACTTATGACTGTAACAACATATAACCAGAAGTCTGGCCTTTATTGTGATTGTAAGTCAAGGTCTACCTGTAGTACTTCATTAATATATTTATATAGATATTGATGATTAGGAATTATATAGTAGTTCTGAACTATTTTGAGAATTAGTTATAAGACATATATTTATTAAAATAATACTAAAAAAATTGCAATTGCAATTGTATGGTCTGATATAAGAAATATAATAAATAAATATGAAATATAAATATATTCCTAGATGTTAATTTAAGGTGAGCATATTTAAATGTATGTCACTATTTTAACTAATAGACACATGGACATAAAACAATTTTGCATTGTTTTCTGGAATCTTCCAAATTCTTATTTTATCTAATTTTATCTTTCTTAAGCAGAGAGGATGGTGAACTTGAAGATGGTGAAATAGATGATGCTGGACTTGAAGAAGATAAGGAAGAAAAAGACACAAAAGTTGAAGATAAACCTAAAAATGAAAAATCTCATAGAAAATCACGAAAGAAGCGCAAAAAGGAAAAAGAGAAGAAAAAATCAAAAAGGAGAAGACGAGATAAACACAAGGTATGAAGTGTTCTTCAGCATGCTATGCAGTTTATTTCTAACTAATAATTATTTATCCATTTAAACAAAACATAAAACTATACTGGAATGCCTTTGCTTTAATTAGTTCACTGAAAATTAACTCCTTGAAAAGGTGAGGTTCCCTACAGATTGCAAAATAGCCTAGAAAGCAGTCCACTGAGCCATCATCACATGCCGCTTCTAACATTCTTACTCCCATGTGAACTGAAATAAGTACTGGCAAGGCTCATTAAGTGTTCCAATACTGCATAAAACTATATGAACAACCTACTTTAATTGGTGATAAACTGGTCCTTGTGCTAATTTGCCTTGTATAACCCTAGCTTGCACTCATTTTTGTTCAGATATACTTACTCGTAGTAATTTCAATCATACAGATAGATGTGTATGAAATCACACACATACACACTATATGATCATACTATAACAAGCATTGTATAAATGATACTGTTCTTCCTTTTCAGCATAATTCACCTTCTAGTGATGATAGTTCTGACTACAGCATTGACTCTGATGCTGAACGTACAGAAAGATCTCATAAGAAAGGAGCTGGTTTCTATAGAGATTATGAGTCTTCATTCCTTCAGGTACAGACAGATTTCAAAATGAACTTCATTTTATTTATTTTTCCACACTATTTAAATAGTTGCTTGATCTTACCCAGACTAACGTCCATTTTTCTCAAAAGAGGGAATTAATTACAGTATATTGAATTAATTTAGACAAATAAGTACATTGTATCGTTTTCAAAATATGTAATTATAGTTTATTTATTTATTCCCTAAATAAATCTAGTTCCTTGTTACTCTTTTCACAATGTGTAAGTAAGGGATAAGTACTGTAAATATAAAACTGGTAGTCCTTGACTGGAATTTCTGTCATTAGTCATTGCAGTCATAAATCAGCTTAGACTCAAATTTATGGCAATTTTACAGTGGTCTTTAAATGAATCACTGCACTTGTTAAGCAAATCATAATGTCATTAACAAAATCCAGCTTCCCCAGTGGGTATTTTTTTCTATTTTTTTGCTGGAAATTGGCAAAACGGGTCACAGATTGAAATCACATGATCACAAGATGCTTCAATTGGCAGTAAATGTGAACCAATTGCCAAGCTACTGAATTGCAATCGTGATCGCAGGAATGCAGCGGTCATAAGTGTAAGTAATTTTTCATAAGTCACAAGTCACTTTTTCCAAGGCTGTCGTAACTTTGAACCATTGTTGAATGAACGGTGGTAAGTCAAGGAGAATCTGTATAATAGGCTATAAAAGGATGTCACCTTTTTGGGGTGAGTAAAATTCCCAGTCAAAATGAAACCATTTTTATTTCTGCAATTTTTCCAGTTGGTATGAAAATCTTTCATTTTAATTCATACATTTTGAAAGGAAATGGATATTATTTTGGATTTTTGATAATCTGATATGTCTACCATATTTTTTTCATAATAAGGTATAGTGAAGCTGCAAATACATGTTGACTAAATAAATTTCCACGAATACTGTTCAGCTGCTTTTTACACATGTATAATATTAACAATATGAAATAATAGATGAGCAAATCCAATAAATATCTCTTATGGAAAAAAGACATTTCAAAGCTTCTAATGTTCCTCAATTTATAAGAAGGTCCCATGATTGGACTATTGTAATGCATTCTACATCAGGGTTTTTCAACCTTTTCACAGATTGTACCACTTTTAGGAAATGGCAATATTCGAATACACCAGTCGCCTAGGAAGGTATCAAAAACGTGATGACCAAAAAAAAAAGGAAAAAAGTTATAAAGTACAGGTAGTCCTCAACTTACAACAGTTCGCTTTGTGACTGTTTGAAGTTACAACAGCATTGAAAAAAGTGACTTAGACCATTTTTCACACTTATGACTGTTGCAGCATCCCCAGGGTCAGGTGATTTACATTCAGATGGTTGGCAACTGATTCATATTTATGATGGTCACAGTGTCCCAGGGTCATGTGATCTCTTTTTGCAACCTTTTGACAAGTAAAGTCAATGGCTGTGGGGGGGGCGTGGTCAGCTCAATGTCGCTCAGGTTGCGGGGCCCCTGTGGGGGGTGCAGGCGGGGCTGTGGGGGGGATTTGGGGATCTCCAGTGGAGGGGGGTTGGACTTGGTTGGGCACCAGGGCATGGTCCACTGGAGGAGCCTTACCGTCCCTCTTTGGCCGCACAGAGGACTCCCGGACATTATTGTGGGCTGCCTGGAGCTCCGGTCCTCGAGCTCTTGGGGCACCAGAACCCTGCAGCCCAACCCAGTCCAGCCCCACTTCCCTGAGGGGGTGCCTGGCTGCGCTTACCACCTTGTCTCCATGGCTAGGTTGCTCATGGTGGGTGCAGGAGTTAGTGGGTCGGAGGGAAGCCCACTCCCTCTCCATGCGAGGAGACCTGGCTTTATAACCAAAGCATCCTTAGCGATAGGATGGGAAACCACCAGGATAGGCCAGGAGGAGGGAGCAAGGGGATGGCGAAAGGGCAGCAGGCCTGCTGGTGGCCAAGTGCTAAGGCAGGACTTGCCTCCCTCCCTCTCATTCCAATCTCCCTCCTTCCTTCCTCCCTCCATCCCTAGCCTCCTTCCTTCCCTTCCTCCCTCTTTCTCATTCCGATCGCCTTCATTCCTTCCTTCCCCTGAAGGAGACCAGCAAATGGCCCTCGCCCACTTCACACACCCGGCTCTGTGGGAGGGGATGTTGCAAGTTCACATTACCTGCACGACGATGCCCAGCCCCCAACCTGCCCGGTTTCGAAAGGCAGTGGTGCGCTCTCCTCACTGTGTAGAGAGCCTGAGCCAGGCAACGCGAAGCTGGCGAGAAGTCGAACCTGCCTGGGTGTGCACACAGGAGGCAGAGAGCGCATGTGGCCTGGCGTCCCAGGTGAAAGGGAAGCGCTCAGAACGTGGTCAGCCTGCGGGGCAAAACGGTCACCCAGGATGCCAGGCCTCATGCACTCGTCGCTTCCTGTGCATGTGCCCAGGCAGGTTCAGCTTCTCTCCAGCTTCACTTTGCCTGGCCCAGCCTCTGCATGCAGTGAGGAGAGCGCACTGCTGCCTGATAAAACCGGACAGGCTGGGGGCTGCATGGTGTCACACAGGTAACATGGACTCTCATGCCGCTCACGGCGTCCCCTCCCCCGGAGCACACAAAGCCGGGGATATGGAGCGGGTGAGAGCCATTTGCTGGTCTCCTTCAGGGGATGGTGCCTTCATTCCTCTTGGAGGGTGACCCCTCCCCTGCTGCATTTCTTGCCTGTTTTTCACTGCTACCTGTGTGCGCGCCCGGCACAGATGGCTGCCATGAAGTTGTAGATTAGCTCCCTGCTGGCCTGTTTTATCTCCTTTCCTCTCTCCCCCTCCTCCTCCTTTTATCTTCGGTGCAGCCCCTAGCTGACTCCTCCTCCCAAGGCTACGTCTTTTTTTTTTCCTCTCCCTCTCCTGCCAAAACTGCCTCCTTTTATAGCCTCTCCTGTCTCCACCCCTCCTCCTTTCCCTTCCGGGTAAGCCAGAAGTGCCAATCCCGGGGCCTTTGTCTCATCCCAGCAGCCCTGCAGCTCCTGAAGACTCTCACGGCAAATCCTGCGCTGTGCCGCTTTAGCTCATTCCCTCCCCCTGCTACACTTGGCTAGGCTGGGCAGGGTCGCATACCACCTGCCAGGTGGTACACGTACCACTGGTTGAAAAGCCCTGCTCTACATGACCCTTTCAGAACATTTGGAAGCTACAGCTGCTGCAGAATGCAATGGTGCAGAGAGTACTTGGGGCCCAAAGAATGGCCCATATAACACTGCTCCACAAGCTGCCAGTCTGCTTCCAGATGCAATTCAAGGTATTGGCAATCAACTTTACAGCCTTTCATGGCATGGGTGCAGGCTACTTGAAGAACCGTCTCATTCCACTGAGATTGGCCCATCCCACCTGTGCCAGTAGAGGAGGCATGCTGCGGATCCTGTCGGCCCACTTATTCCGGCGGGCAGGGTCCAGAAGAAGGGCCTTTTCTGCCGTTGCATTTGCCCTCTGGAACATCTTGCTCCCTCCCCCCAGTGTGCAGTTGGCCTCAACCCTCCTGACCTTCCATCAGAGCCTAAAGATCTGGCTCTGCCAGCTAGCTTGGGGCTCCAAAGGGGATACATCACAGTGGAGGGGGTTGATCAACTAACAACAGATCCCATTTCCCCGCCATCTTGTCCCCCCATCTTTAATTGGATCATAATGTTTGGCTTGTTTTAGTGCATTTGTGTGTGGAGGAGGGTATCTTTAATGATTGTAAGCTACTCAGAGTTACCCTGTGGTAAGATGGGCAGCCAATACATTTTATAAATAAATAAATAAAAATGGGATAAGTGCTTACTTCAACAAATTAATTTGAGTCAAAACATTTCTATTTAACATTTTCAACAATCACACAAAACCTTAATATGATTGGAAGTAATGTAAATGTAAATTAATGTAATGTAAGTAATTAAAAAAATTAAAAAAGGAATCCAGAATGGAAATTTCCCAGACAGTTTTGTATAATAGTGATCTTTTTCTTCTTTCTGGAATTCATCAAATTGGCTATTTTCCTGAATAAAAGTGGGGGGGGAGTTGCAACAGGGCTGAAGGGGAAATGAAACATATGAAAGTAGAGTGCCTCTAGGATAAGAAGGTACAGGTCTTGTATATATATGTTTATCTCCCACTAGAATGCGTGGAAAAATTATATAAGGAAAAAACGCTTGTACCAGAGGTGCCTGTATCCATAATCCTGTAATAGTTTGAAATTTACATGTGTTTTCATTATTCTTAGCAGTTCTAATTTTATTACAACTAAATAATGCAGTCAAATTAATGTTCAATAAAGTCATACAATTTTGACCTCAAACAAAATGTTGATTAAAATCTATTAAATCTGTGTGTCAGAGGATCTCTTAACTATTTTTAAAACTTTCTCATCCATCTTAATTACTTACATATACAGCATACAGAATCTGTGCTTTGCTTTAAAAAGTATTCTCTTCTATAGCCCACTTTACATGAATTATATATATACAATGTGGGGGGGACATTTAAAAAAATGCAATATTCCAACTAAACTCATTTCATTTTCGAATCTTTCAAAACTATTATTTACTCATAATTAAATGAGCAGGCACCTTACCTCAGTAACTGTCAATTTGTCTGGGGTGATCATCACTAGAAACAGTTTCCTCCCATTTTTAAAAATATGCTGGTAATATGCTGATAGTATATTTTTTAAAAATTACAGTAAAGAAAACATTAGAAGAGTAAATGCTACAGCATATATACTAGTAAATCTCAGGTAGAATCTTGATGTGTCTTGTTACACCATATACTAGAGATTTGTTCTTAATTAATATTCTCATACACTTCTAATTATCTTTATCTTTTATCCAGCATGGGCATATTTCAGGAAAATATACCCCTTCGCAGAAGATACAGCATAATAAAAAAACAAAAAGCAAAGATTATGATAATTACAGTGATGATTTTTGTTACAATGAAGATGAAAAAGAAGATTTTGCTGATCAGTTAAAGCAATATAGACAAGCTAAAGAAACTAATGAGTTAGAAGCTCCAATTTCAAAAGAACCAGGGAAAAAGCAAGGGATGAAAGGGATTCACAAAGGTAAGTCAGTTATCAAAGAACAATTAGATCTGAGTTAGTACCTACCTATGCAGAATGGAATACAGAGTCATGTTATTATTACAGTACTTCACTATTAATCCATTAGCAGCAATAGTCATCTCACCATTAATCATGTCACCATTATATTTCCAGTGAATTTAATTATACTTTTATAGGTTCATTTACCTTATGACTTTTGTGTTCCAGTCAACTGCTTTTTTATATCCAAAAAGGTTCATTCTGTTATAAGTAATCAGAAATTTTAACATAAGAGAACATAGACAACATAGTTATATTATTCCAGTATGACAATTACATATTAATAAAAAAGGAATTATATGTGGAATGCTTTTACCTGAAGCCCAGTTAATATAATTTTTGTAAGTAAGCATGTTAACTTGAGAATGGCTAGCATTATTCCTGCCATTGATACATATTCTTTGATGCCTTTCAGTGAGATGTATGCTTTTTCTTAAGAAAAAGAGAACTCTGCTCAATTGAAGATCAGGTGCAAAGCAGAGAATTCCTTTATCTTTATTAAAGGAAAGGAAAACAGAGTAGGAGCAGGTATTTTAATACTGAAAAGTCCCTTTCCCATACAGTTCTTGAATTCTGTCATGTGTTTAGTCATTCTAGAGAAATGATTTTTTCCTGTAAATTAAACATGGAACATGTTTGGAGATTAAATGAATTGATTTTGCAACTTCAGTCTTATGTGTAACGATTAAATAGTCTTGTGCAAAAAGATTCCAAACTGCTCCTCAGCTAATACACAGAAGAAGTACATTAAAAGCACAATTAAGTTTTTCCTGCCTAAAAAACAATGTGAATACTTACTTTACTGTTTAACCAAATTTAAGTTATCAGAACATTAAAATTGGAAATGGACAATTTCTTTATTTTCAGATGTTTCTTAGATGGTAGTTGATTGCATTTAATTATATAACTGGTAATCAAAACAGCTTCAAGTAGGCTTAGTAATAACATTAATTTGTTTTTTAGAACATATTTATCCTATAGGGTCCCATGTAGCTCCCAATAATAATACATAAACAAAAAAAAACAGAATTACAAAAATAGCAGTAAAATATTTAAATATTAAATAAAGCAAGATTATATATAAGCAAGATGTATGTCTATTTGTTTATATTTTATATTTTGATAAATTAAATACAATTATTTAAAAAATAAAGCCTACATAAATTTATCAAAAAGGCATTCTTATTTCAGCCATACAGATTGTGGAGTTTTGAAATGTACAAAGAATACTCTGAAAATTATTTCAACATGTAGTATTCATACAGAAGCAATCCATTAAATATTCTGCCCATAAACCTTTCAGATCTTTAAAGGTCAATAATGCCAGCTCTTTTGATTAAATTCAGAAACAAATTATAAGCCCATGCTACTATTTTAGCAAGAGAGTTTTACACTCCAATTATGCAGCATTTGGTAGTAAATGAACTGCAGTCTCCTAGACCATTTCAGAATATTGTCAAAGGTAGCTTTATATGAAGCACATTGCAATAGGCCAGAAGTAATGTAATTAAAGTATGTGTTATTTTGGCAATAAGCTCAATATGGCCACATAGCAGTAGATCTATCTATATAATTTATATAGCCACCCATTTCATGGATATGTCTCTGGATGGCATACAGTTGAAACAAAACAATTAAAAACGGAGCCTTAAAAACTATTTTAAAATTAAAAATATAAATACATTCACTGGAGAGTGAATGGGAGAGTGCATTCAAGGTCCACATAGTTATATTAAACTCTATTTATATTGGATCCCCAAGCCTGCTGACAAAACCATGTTTTAAGAGATTTCCGGAAAGTCAGTAGGGTCTACGTAATCTCATCAAAGGGCAGCTGTTACAGCAGAGAAGGCTCATTTTTGGGGTCCTGTCAGATGGAACTCCTTTAGTAGATGTAATTTGTAACCTGCCCTTCCTTCCAGACCTGATTGGATAGCTAGATGTTGTTCCACAAATAACCCAGCCCCATGCCATGTAGGACTTCAAAGATAAAAAACAGCATTTTGAGTTGAACCTGGAAGCAAACTGGCAATCACGGAGCAGAGATGTAAGATATGCGAGTTCTAGAAGCACACCTTTGGTCTCACCACTGTATTTTGTACCAGTAGAAGCTTGTGGATACTTCTCAAAAGTAGCCCCATGTAGAACGCATTTCAGTAGTTCATTCAGGAGGAGATCAGGGCATGAGTAATTGAGAATAGAGCCTCCCAATTCAGGAATAGACACAACTGGCGCACAACACAAAGTTGTGCAAAGGCTCTCCTAGTCACAACGGCTACCAAGCAGGAGTCATGAATCCAGAAGAACCCCCAGATTGTACACAATGTCTATTTGGGGCTATGCAATCCCAGACAACACCAAAGATGATACTTTCTCAGATCGAGGAGACTTCTAAAACTCAGTCTTGCCAGAGTTCAGCTGAAGCCTATTGTTCCCCATCCATTTCCCCCACAGCCTCCAGTCAATGAGACTGATATCAATTGCACACTTAGTTTGCCAGGGACAAAGATGAATAATTGGGTATCATCAGCATATTGTAGTGATCATATCTCATCCCATGGCAATGGATATTTTTTCCTAGTAGTTTCATGTAGATACTAAACTGGAGTGAAGAGACTACTGAATCTATGGAATCCTACACAGTAGGGGTCAAGGGTGGGACCGCTCACTCTCAAATGCTGGGGAGGAAGGAAGAGACCAAGCACAATACAATGCCATCCACTACCACCTTATGCAGCTGATCCAGAAAGATACCATGGTCAATGGTATCAGAGGCCACCAAGAGGTCAAGTAGAGCCATGATATATGGACTATCCCCATCCCACTCCTACTAGAGATCATCCAAAAGCATACTTCTGTTTCAGTTCCATGCCAAGGTCTGAATCTTCACTGAAAGGAGTCTAGATAATAGATGGTCTATTATGATGCATGTAGATTTGGGGACATAATATTTAAGTATGGAATAACTTACAAAAATATTTTTCTTATATACAAATTATAGGCAATATAATTATAGGCAATATAACTTGCCATGAGTTGCCAAAATTAATTAAATTGTTTTATAAACTAAATTTTGAGAATTTTCCTAGTAACTGTCCGGTTCACACATATGGCTGTGCAAAGCAGTACTTTTGAAGGGCTGCCTTGAGTCCAGTCTTTCAAATGAAATGGTGCTTCAGTGTGGAAAAATGAGGTGCTCAGTCTTGATACCTCCATTTGAAATTTTGAGGCTGGCCAATTTGCCTCATCAGAAATGTTTAGATGGCCAGTTAAGTAGCTGCCTCAGATAGCACGGCAGCTCCATTGGGATGAGTTTTGCAAGGCTCTGAAGACCTGGTTTTGCCAATGGGCCTGGAGACCCCAGAATGGAATGGAACCCATCAAGTGGCTTATTTGATTGATTGATTGATTGATTGTTGCCAGAGAGCAGGGTATGTGTGTTTGTGTGTTATTGCTTTTTATTGTTTTTATATCGGGTGTTTATCTTTGTGAACTGCCCAGAGTCGCTGAGACTGAATTGGGCGGCCATATACATTTTTCTTAAATAAATACGTGATTAGACATATGGTGCTATTTTGGAAAGCTATGCTAAACAAGTATTTCACTGAAGGCTTTATCAAAATAAAAACCCCAGCACAATGCAGTTGTGTATTATACATAAACTGCAGTATGTTCAGTAATTTTTTTAAAGTATATCAAATTCATAAACAACAAATAACAATTTGTTACTTTATAATCTTAGAAAATTTTTAAAAATCCTTTAAATAATAACCTTAAAACTGGTACATGTGTTGGTAGCCTCCAGGCCTAATGCAGTTGTCTACTCTGGACATTTTATTTGGTACAGAAATTAGAAGTGAGGTTGGTTCCTGGAAGAACACAAAGAGATTGTGTTTTGTTTGCCAATTTGCTTCTGGGCAAAATAAAAGACTCTACATGGATTGGGCCAAGGCTGTTTGAAAGAGAAAAAAAAAATTCTAGATGAAGCTCCACAGTCCATCTGAAAATGCTTGCTACTTGTTGCTGCAATCTATCTGCTGGCATTTAGGGTCAAGCTTTTTATGTTGCTATTCTAGTTCTTTGGAATACTCTAGTTTCTTACAGAATTGAAGGATACAAATTCCTTATTAATTTTCAAAAGGTCCTTAAGTCATCTTTTTGAACAGACTTTTAACAGTTAAATTAACAGTCAACTTTATCAGTGGATATTATTTGTTTCCTATTTTAATTTTTAAAATTATTTTAAATTTGCTTTACTGTAAAATGCCAAGACATTTTAAAGTTGGCACTATATCAAGTTTAATGAATAATCACTACATAGAAAAATATAAATGATATATACAATATAGTTTTTCTTCTGCATCATAGTAAGTAATAAATTAATATATTCCTCCGTAAATTTGTAATCTTTTAGGTGCTACACAAATGAGCAATAGTTATGGTATTGGCCGAGGGCGCAACATGCAAAAGAAACTGAAACGCAAAGATCGTGGAAGAGGAAGAGGGATAAATAAAGGATCTGAGGAAGTAAGTCAAGTGAAAATGGTTTATTGCATTAAAAATAGTGTTTTTTTATTAAAGCTGTACATTGTAAAATGCTTTACTTTCAGTAGCCTTAGAACTAAGATAATTGCATTATGAAAGTAAAAATAACATAATTAAGATAAATGTTAATAATCAGTGATAGCTGCATTTGCAAAATCAGACTAATATAAATATAATCTTGGTGAGCTTAATAGCAGGAAAATTTTGGTTGGAAACAGCCAGTGGTTGAATTGTCACTTTCATATCCCTGGTACTTTAAAAAAAATCAATTTTATTGTATTTTGATTTTCAAGATAGCTTTTTATTACTTGCTTGTTCATAAAGATGGGATCCTTCTATACAGCTGTACCCAACATTGGTATCTTTTATGATAAGAATATTGTTCATATATATGTATGTATTACTTAAAATCCTAAAAACCGAAAGTTGACTCCTGGGTAAATTCATTTCGGGAACCACAAACTGAGAGACCACCAGGAGGTTGTTAAAACCATAAAAAGTTTTAATAAATTTTTTTAAAAACACCTAGCTTTCGCCGGCTTCCTGCCAGCATCATCAGGGTGGTTAACAGTCGATGGGATGGCTACTTATAGGAGTGGTGCCTTTTGCACCCGACTCCTAGACCTCGTGATTGGGCCCAACCGATCCTCCTGCATTCAGCTCCTAGTTATCATATCGCCAGCTGACACGCATATGTATGTATGCATGGAAATTGGATGTGAGATCAGCTTCCAACTTTCTGACCTTCCATAAGGACCTGAAGACCTGGCTTCTCCAGATGGCTTGGGGCTCTAACAGAGGAGCATCGCACTAGATGTGGTTGATGAATTAAGAAGCAATCCTATCTCCCTTCTGCACATCCTGCTCCCTCCCTCCCCATCTTTTAACTATGGTTCTATTTTTCATTGTAATTTTCATTTTTATTGTTTTAGAAATATTTATCTTTTCTTAAAATGCTTTTAATTCTGTAAGCTACCTAGAGTCGCTTTGAAATGAGATGGCAGCAAATGAATTTAATAAATAAATAAATGATAAGTTTAATCATGAATAGATATTTTATCTTGTCATTTAACTGTTTTCTTTTTGAGTAACCTTTGAGAAATAACCATATTAAAATGGAGCCTTTGTTTAACAGGAAATGAAGCCAATAAAGAAATGGCCAACTATGAGTCAGGCATTCATAAACCAGCATACGGTGGAACACAAAGGAAAACAAATTTGTAAATATTTCTTAGAAGCCCGTTGTATTAAGGTGAATATATGATTGTACTTTTTTCTTCAAAGAAAGTAAACAATTTATAGATTTTATTCTAGTTTGTTCAAAGTTTAAAGTTTAATTATTTATTACATAATTTTTACCCTGCCAAATCCATTCATTCTTATGGTAATCAAAACCCAATGGCCATAAAAATTAATTATATAAAAATGATATCCAGCATTTATTAGATTTGGGGAAACTTTTCATGTATTCGATATAAATGATACTAGAGAAAATTATTGCTTAGAATAATACAAAGATTGGTGCGTATGTTTTGTTTGGTCACAGTATTTCTAAAATTTCATGTGAACTTTCATATTTAGTATTGAATATATATATTCTACTAGTTAGTTCTTAGATACTGTTGCATCACTGAATATTGTTGCTTTAGCAATCCCATCAATACGTGAATAGAATGTAATCTGTTTTCTAGTTTCATAATCTTCATATAATTGCAATTCACTTTATCTTTTTGATGTAAAATTAATTTTTAATTTTCTTTGGTGTGGTAAAATAAAACAGTATGAAATGTAAAAAGTCATTATTGAAACTTATAATCTGTCTTTATGTTACAGGGAGATCAGTGTAAATTTGATCATGATGCAGAAATAGAAAAGAAAAAAGAAATCTGTAAATTTTACATTCAGGGTTATTGTTCCAAAGGAGAAAACTGCATTTACATGCATAATATCCTTTAACAAAAATGTCTCAGACATATTATGATCAGAGCTGAAGTGATCATAGTACTTTAAATGTTCCATTTATAATAAAATGTAGATGTTTCTAAGGACTAGAGGCTTTAAATATTACATTTAATGTAAAGTAAGTAACAGTTTTAGAAATGTATTCTTTTTTTCCCCTTTTGAAAGAATAATTTATAACAATTTTTAGAAAGGTGCACCAGATTAAAGATACAGCAAAGTAGGAGAAATGATTAATAATAAAACATAAATAAAAGCATTATGGAAAAGCTTTTTAGCAATGCATTCTCTCTTTTTCTTTTATTTATTTCTCTAACCACTGCTTAAATTTGCTTAAACTTTGTTATGAATACAGTAGTCCTCAACTTACAGTTTATTGTAACATATGGTTAAGAATAAATGCCTGAGGAATTGTGAGAATTGTGGCTGCTTCCAAAGAGGTTGTGGCAGTCATTAAGTGAAGTGCCCATGTGATTCCTTCACTAAACCACAATCCCTACTTTCCCTGTTGCAGTTGTTATGTGCAGCATGGGGTGCCTTGGGGTAGAGGAAGCCCTGGGAAGGCCCAGGCCTACTCTGCAACACCTCCCCAACTCACACGTAACCTGCCCCGGGTCTCCAAGGACCTCCCCCACCCACTGAGGTACTCTATGCTCTGCTTCCTTATTATTATTATTATTATTATTATTATTATTATTATTATTATTATTATTATTATTAATTAAATTTATATACCGCCCTATCTCCCTTACGGGACTCAGGGCGGTGAACAGGCGATAATAAAAACCACGATAAATATACGCAAGTTTCTGTTCTAAAATCAAATTAAATAATAGGCCTGCTCTAAAAACACCCCATACAAAACCCCCACTAAAACATAATCAAACTACGCCAGGCCGGCCGCACAGAATAGATGGGCCTTCAGGGCTCGGCGAAAATCCTGTCACTGGATCCAACAGAGTTGGGCCTCCTCTCTCCCCTTCGTCATACCAGTCCACTTTCCTTTTCCAAAAATTCCCTATCAGAAGAAGAAGCGGCTGAGCTACTGTATGACCCTCATATTCAGAGGTTGCATGTTACTGTTCTGGAAGTGGGTGCCATTTTGGAAGCGGCCACAAATCTCTTTGATTCTTCAGGAATTTATTTTAAGCATATGTTACAATAAACCTTTTAAAGAAAGTAATGCCAAAATTATGGGAATTATTAAAAGTTATCTTGTTTAGTTTCCTTAATATTTGATTACATGAATTTCCTTGCAAGTTCTATCATACAGGAGCAAAATGTTACCACGGTGACAAATGTAAGTTTTCTCATGATCCTCTAACTAAAGAGACAAAAGAACTGCTTGATAAGGTAAGTAATGCTATCTAAATCAGACTTTGTATTTCAAAATCAAACTTTGATCTAAATCAAACTTTGTAATAAAAAATGCTTCCAGTTTTTCAAGAAAGCTAGATAAGTTGATTGAGAGTCAGTTGCATGTGAAATGCACCTAAGCAACTGAAAAACAGATTTTTTTTGTTCTTCCTATAAACACGTGCGACAAAGCAAGAAATCAGTTTATATATTTTAGTGGAAGATTCTTGCCCTAATCTCTTATTAATATATTTAAAGAGATTACAACTACCGGTACTTAGGAAATCTAATCTGTTTCAAAGTGTTCTCTCTGTTTTTCTATTATACATCAAATACCTAATGAAGGAAGACAGATTATGACTTTCTAAAAAAAGATCATAATATCCTTTAGTTACCATTTTATGTCTTTTGTAACATGTACGCATAAGCATGTTAAGGCAATCTACAGTCTTGTATGTGAGTTCATGTATGCATATGAAACGGAGGATTTGTGCAAACATGTGAAATTGGAAGGGAACTAGGATAATTCCCTATGCAGAGGTTATCCTCTCACACAAAGTAGATTTGCTTATGGTTCTTTGCTTGTGCCCATTGACTGAAAAACAAAACATATTTATATTCAGTTGAACTTGGCGTGAGGGAGGGTAGTGTGCATTCAGCAGGTTATTCCTTTTCTTTACCTCCAGATTTTTTTGGGGGGGAGGGGGTATTTTGAATTTGTGATGTTTACCAGAGTATGAATCCACTTTCTATATAAAGAATGATAAGTGCAATTGTTGAATTCTGATCAAATAGGAAACTACTTGAAAAATTGTTTTCTTATGAAACACCCTATTCCTCCCCAATTAGAACAGAACAGAATAATAGAGTTGGAAGGGACCTTGGAAATCTTCTAGTCCAACCCCCTGCACAAGCAGGAGACCTATACCATTTCAGACAAATGGTTGTCCAATCTCTTCTTAAAAGTCTCCATTGTTGGAGCACCCACAACTTCTGGCGACAACTCCTTCCACTGATTAATTGTTCTGTCAGGAAATTTCTCCTTAGTTCTAGATCAATTCTCTCCTTAATTATTTTCCATCCATTGCTTCTTGTCCTGCCTTCAGGCCCTTTGGAGAATAGATTGACCCCTCTTCCTTGTGGCAGCCCCTCAAATATTGGAACACCTATCATGTCACCTTTAGTCTTTCTTTTCATTAAACTAGACATACACAATTCTTTCAATCGTTCTTCATATGTTTCAGTCTCCAGTCCCCTAATCCTCTTTGTTGGTGTTCTTTGCACTCTTTCTAGAGTCTCAACATCTTTTTTATATCATGGTGACCCAAACTGGATGCAGTATTGCAAGTGTAGTCTTACAAAGACATTACAAAGTGGTATTATATAAAGTTTTGGAACATTCTCATAGTGCTAAGAATTTGGATGGTGGTCTGTAAAATCAAGTTTGAGAAAGGAATGGAAAGTCTTCATAAAGTCATGTGCTCATTTCTTTTCCCCTTGGCCAATAATTTTCACATGAAAAAGTACAGGGTAGGCAGTAGCTGAATAAGAACTGTTTATTGAAAATATTCCAGGGAATATAAGGATAGTAGAAACTATCCTTAAATGCCATTACTCAGCTTCTGCTATGCCATACCTTACTCCTTTAGGAAAATCATGAAGCAGGAGAAACTGGGCAGCGTGAAAATGATCTTTAAAATGACTCTAAGTAGTGTTTGTTTAGTGCTGGTTTTGTCCTGTATCTTCTGTTTTGGGACATGCTGGTGGGGAAAGCTGATTACGTCGTTTCAAGGTGCTCCCTCTGTAAGATATAGTTTCAAACCAGCTGGATTATAGACAGAGGTGGAATTATACTTTGTCCCTTGCCATATATAATTTAATTCATGGGTCCAGTACTATTCTGTACTCCAGTTTAGGCTAAATTATGCCTGAACTTTTATTAAATGTTCATAGAGTACGAATTTGGAAGAAAGACTCCAAATTAATAAGTACTGATGTCTTAATGTTGTAGGTTCTACATGTTTTAAAGTATTCTAGTTTAATCTGATCTATAAATAGCAGGTATCATAGATTTCAATAAGTGCTTTTGCCATGAACTTCTAAAATAGCTGCCAATAGCCCATATATTCTGATTATATTTTAATGTGGTGTTTTTAGGTACTGAATACTGAAGATGAGCCTCAGAATGATGATGAAAAAGAAGTGGAAGAACTTAGGAAACGTGGCATAGTTCCTCTTCCTAAGCCACCTCCAGGGGTTGGACTTTTGCCCACCCCACCGGAGCCATATTCATTTATGGAGGAAGATGCAGAAAACTTTCAGGATCCCTCTGGCGAGTTCAAGAAAATTCCATCCCTCTTTGAAATTGTTGTGAAGCCTACTGTGGATTTAGCACATAAAATTGGGAAAACGTAAGTCTAGGAATTCTTAAAACTATACATTAAATTTTAATGAGGAAATCAATTTCAGAAAATGGATTATTTTAAACAAACCTTACAGTAAATGAATTCAGAATACATTACAGTATCCAGTTAGGGCAACTATTTCCTCTCTCACATTTTGTATAGCTGTACAAGTATATGAATTGTAGAATTTACTCTACTGTATAGAGTAATCTGGGATTAAAGAAAACATATTGAATAGTAGTAATCACCTTAAAAAACACAATTTGGGGAAGATAGTATATTTCGCCCCTTGCAGATTTTTTAGATAGTACTGCTTGTGAATTGTGTTCTGATTTTAATATTTGTACACAAATGTACTTGACCTGGCTTTCTTTTTACAGTCCGCCAGCATTCTATAATAGTACATCGCCCCCTGGACCAGAGTTTGAAGGAAATGATCCTCACATGTATAACAGAGAATCAAGCCCAGGACATAATGGACCAGCAGGGCATCCAGGATCTCCTGGTCATCCTTGTATGGGTTCAGTGGTGCCACATAGTCCACCTTTGCAGCCAGTTCCTGCAGGATACTTAGGACCACAAGGTCAAGCCAGTGGACCTATGCATGGAAATCAGGGTGGTCCACCTTTAACACCACCTGGTGTGTCATACAACTGTGCAGTGGGTCAAGAACATATGGCAAACATGCCCAGAGACAATCATTGCCCACCTGGTCCACCATATCAGCACATTCCTAGTGAACGGCAGTCAAATCCTGCATATGAAACTCTTCAGAATCCAGCTAATTTCTATGACAACTACTATTCACATCAGGCTGTGCATAATTTCCAAACAACCAATAATGCTAATGGTAAGTTTTAATTTATAAAATTGTTTCATTTTAATTCATCACTCTAAACTGAACAATCTTATCTGTTGATAGTAAACCTAGTTTTCTGCAAGCATTCAGCATTTAAATTTGAGAATTAAGTGAGGTGCAGACAACTCTTGTCTTAATCCTTAATTCAAGACATATATGTAAGTGTTTTCAAAATGAACGTATTAATAGGAAAAATTATGGAAGAAAAGTGGTAATCCATGTATTCTGCATTGGAACAGTTTCACCTCTTTCTAGATTTTTTGTAAATGGGATCTGGAACACCTTAGATAAGTGTATTGCATGTATCATACACTCATAACGTGTGTGTGTGTGTGTGTGTGTGTGTGTGTGTGTGTGTGTGTGTGTGTTCAAGTCATTCTTGACTCCTGGCAACTGCTTGGACAAGACCACACAGTTTTCGTGGTAAGATTTTGGGAAGTGGCTTGCCATTGTCTTCTTCCTAGGGCTAAGAATTATTGACCTAAAGCTGACTTTATGCCTAAGACAAGATATAGAAGTCATCATCTCTCAGTTTTTAGCTTGTTTTTAGCCTGTTGCCCTAAACCTAAACCATTACATCAAGCTAGATCTCATATTATGTATACATTTACAGTACATTTTCCTAAAGGAGTATATTGCAATGATTCATTTCTATTCAGGAGCCTATCATTTCAGCCTCAGCAAGTAAAATGTTAGTCATTAGCTTTCCTTATGCAGAACATTTGCCTGCTTCTCCAGCCCTTTAGAAAGGGATGTGTGCCTGCTTGGCGCTGCTACTTTGAATTGAAAAGCTGGTAAAAAGTGAAATAATGATGGTTTAGGAATCACTCCTTAAAGACATCTTTGAGAACACTGGGCCTTTTCTTTATAAGAGCCATTTTTTTTTTAAAAAAAAAGTTCAGTTTGGTTTAGAGTACTCTACTTTTTCTGCATATCTACCAAGGAGCCCCAAGCTAGTCTCAGTTTTGGAGGAACTATCACACAACTATACTTGATTTTATAGCGGGTTTATTAGATGATGCTAAGTGACTTCTAAAGCTTCATAATAAACACTAATTATTTGTAATACTTAATGCAGATGCTACATGGCAAGGAGACTTTACAGAACCCCAGTCTTACATAAATTCTTCAGATTCACATAACAGTGGAAATGAGTATGAATCAGATTGCGCCACTACAGCAGGACACAATTCGGCTATGAATGTACCTGATTTTCTTCCTGCAATGCAGAAAGCCCTTTTTGTAAGGCTTAGTCAAAAACATCAAGATGATGGAGAACAGATGAGCAATCAGTGTCAAAGATCACTGAGTAGAGAAGAAGGTATTTTCAGATTAAGCATTTGTCAAATATAATACTATATTGTATGTTGTTCCTTTTTCAGATATCGGAATACTTTACTGTATTCTTCCTTCTTACGTTTATTATACTCATTGTAATTTTTATTAAGCTCACCATTTATGTGTTTCATAATCAACTCCCAATTGGTCCAAGCAAAGAGAGTTCTGTGGCTGAATCTCTAATGAAAAGCATGCACGTATCTGTTATAGAACAGTCATACAGATGGACTGATCGATTCCCTCTTACATGTTGGCATAACATTGACTTATATTTTTCTTTTTTTATACATTTTATGTTCATTATAAGATAAAAATAGAAGAAAAGAAGTTAAATTTAAATAAATGCAGAGAGGAAAAAAGTGGTAACTTCCAACTTTTCATTAAAGTAGAATACATACATACATACACACGCACAGACACACGCAGACACATACACACATACACACACACAAAAAACCCTACCCTTTTGCTTTGCATTTCATAACATTTCAAACCATTTTCTATAATAACAAAATCATTCTAATCATTTAAAGTTTTGTTTATTTTAGTTTCAAGCAAAAAGTTCAGTAGCAGTTTCCAAGTAGAAACAACAATAGATAAATTATCTTTAATTAAAACAGTCAATTTTACCATCTCTGATAACTCCATCATTATTACTGTCTACTCTTCCATTGTGGACACTAGCGTGTCTTTCTATGAGTCTTTTGCTAATAGCTAACAAAAATTGATACATTCAGAATACAATTGTGCAATACCTCCCTTAAATAGTCTGAAATTTTAAAGGATTTTGGTGATCTCAAGGCACTAGTGATACTCTTTTTATGCTGCCTTGATTATTTTTATAAATAATTTCAGGCACTGAACATACATAATAGTGCTTCCTTCTATTTTCCCCATAAAAATAATCCTGTGAGCTGGGTTGGGCTGAGAAAGAGACTTGCCCATGGTCATCTAGCTCAGGGGTCCCCAACCTCTGGGCCATGGTCCACTAGTGGGTCATGAGTATTTTCAACCAGGCCGTGGAAATGACGAGCGAGCATGCGCATGCAGATCCCCACTTGCACGAACAGCAGATGAATGCATGCAGGCACAATCCATTTATGTGCCCGCCTCTCGTGCAAATGGAGCTGTGTGTGCTTGCTGGCTGCTCACACAGAACGATCCCCTCTCCCCTCCCCCCCCCTGCCACCAGCCCGCAAAGCCGGAAAGGTTGGGGAACTCTGATCTAGCTGGCTAATCTGATATAATAATAATGTTTTTAAAATTATAGTTTTTTTTTGTTTTTAAATAAAATAAAATTTTAAAATAAAATTATTTGAAAATAAAATAAAATTATGTTTTAAATTTGGAGTTATGCAGGGGGTGTTCTAGATTTCTTATATGCTTTTAGGACTTCAAAAGTGCTTAAAATACAGAGTAAGATATTATCTGAAGTTACATAGCCCCAATGTTTTTAAAAAGGCTTAACTTTTGAGGGTTTTGGAGTTGAATTTTGCTGACTACAAGATGAAAGACTATAAAGGTATATAGCTAAACCAATATAAACAAGAATTTATATTTTTAATAGAAGCTTAAAATTTCATAATAGTGCTTTGCAACTTTTATTCATATGAAATGATAAGAATCTTATTTTAGACAATATATAGTATGTTCCTAAGATTTAATGATCTCTTTTTTCCTTTTAGATGATAATGTAAATTGGTACTCTAGTAGTGAAGAAGAAGAAGGAAGCAGTGTTAAATCCATACTGAAGACCTTAAAAAAACAAAGTGAAACATTTCGAAATCAGCATTCAGCAGATCAGCAGCTGCGTGTTATGCCAGTTGACCCGAGACTTGCTAAGGAACGTGGTTCAGGAAACCAGGCTGTTGATCCAAGACTCAGATCAGCTTCAAGATCAAATGCTAGGAAATCATCAGAATCGGGAGTCTTGGACCCAAGGCTTGCACGAGATCCAAGAACCTTAAAGGGTAATGAAAGCAGTCATGGAAGCTCCTCTACGAGTGGAGCAAAACTGGATGTGCATTATCCACACCCTGTTGTCAAGATCGCGCAAAAAGGATTGGATGAAGATGATGAAGATGCTGAAAGAGAGTTAAGAGACAGAGCTTTTCTCATACCATTGGAACCTCTTCCTGGAGTAACATTACGAGATCCAAGATCTCAGCTTAGACAGTTCAGCCATATTAAAATGGACATTGTTCTAAGCAAACCCAATTTTGCTAAGCATATTGTATGGGCTCCTGAAGATTTACTCCCAGTACCTTTGCCAAAACCAGATCCAGTATCTTCAATCAATTTACCCCTTCCTCCACTTATAGCTGACCAACGATTTAATCAATTAAGGAATAGCAAAAGTGATCCTATCCTAAGTACAGTTCCATCTGATCCACGACTAGCAGCAAAAGCAAAAAATAACATAAACTTAGCAAACAGGAGTGGATCTTTGGAGCACTCTACAGATTTGCATCCTGGTAATACAAACAAGTTAGGAGATCCTCGCTTACAAAAATCCACGGACCCCAGGCTGCATAGACTGTCCAGTACAGACTCCCATCATGGAACGGTGAAAGATCTTTTGCCTTCAAAAACTGATCCGAGGTTGGCCAGATCCAGCACTTGTACATCACAGTCCTCAGAAGCTTCAGTCTTCCAGTCTGACGCAGATACATTGCCTCCATATGCGCCCAAGTTGTCATCTGCAAGTTCCAAACTAGGCACCTCTAGTTCAATAATAAGTGGCATTAGTTTGTATGATCCAAGAAATCATACATCATTGGATTCTTCTCCAGTTAATTCAGGAGAGAATGGAGAAAACCAGAAAAAGGGTATTTTGAAAAACACTGGTCAGAATGAAGTAGCCACCACAGAAGAACAGTTGCCTCAAAAAGCATCCCTGCACGTAGAAAAACATGTGGAAGCATTTGGAGAAACCAATTCAGAGAAAGTAGCTACTCTCAATAAATCTCAGGCTAAACACTCCAGTTCTGCTCCAGCGGTGCACAACCTTCCTATCCAAGCTTTATCAGGGTTAATCAGACCACAATATAATGATCAGAGGCAAGTAAGGCAGCCTGGGCAGATCACTCCAGCACTAGAAAATGATCCAAATGGGGAATCAGATGACAAATCGCTGAAAGATGTTTTCAAGACTTTTGACCCAACTGCTTCACCTTTTTGTTAGCTAATTGTTAAGATTTTTTACCATTGTGAATAATGCTGGTTTCTGCGGTTTTGTAACTGGTTTACCTCTATGCTTTATTTATTTTTAAATTATAACCAGAAATACATTGGGGCTGCTATTTTCAGAACCACATGCAGTAATACAGTATACTATAGTGTTTGCCAATTTGGTATTTTCTATATAAGTTTCCCATTTCAGGGATATGAATCATTGATCCGTTTAAATAAAAGTATATATCATGTTAGGTCTGAGAGAAGCACTTTCATTGTAAATCATCATTAAGGGATTCAATTAAAGACTTGTATATGTGTAATGTGTCTTTTCAAAATCAACATTTTATGTTTGCCACTTTTGTATGATTGTACAGTTTCAAGCAATATAATGTACATTACTATGAGAAACATTATTTAAGATGACAATTATCTAATCTTCTTAAGCCCAACTTGCTAAGCATTTGACACAGGGCAACATTTTTTACTCATGAAACTGATATTCTTAGCCTAAAAGATATTGTATTACATACTGAGGAGCAGAAAAAACTTTTTAAAGTATTTTATTCTATGCTGTATATATAAAAATGCAAAGGACATAATTAAAACATTATTGTTAAAATAGAAAACACCTAGGTCTATAAAATGTATTTACTTTTTCATGTATACACTATTCTCTATTGTGTTATGTCACATTGTGGTGTTCATGTATTCAATGTATTTTTGTATTCAGCTGCTTAATTTGTATTGCTTTTTTGTATTGATGTAATGACAGTAACATGTATTCATGTGTCTGGCATTTTTAACAAATTAAAAGAGTGAAATCTCTGACTTTCCACAGAGTCATGTGGTTTCCTTAGATATGTATGTGTTCACTTTGAGAGCAGGCAACTAAACTTCATTTTCGATGTGTGCTGTTTTGCCCACAGTAAAAAAAATGACGATAAAGGTTATCTTATATGTGATTTCATGAACAGAAAATTTCATGAATTTCTGCTGTAACTCTGACTTCTTATGTTGCCAACCACCTTTGGTGAAGACCATTTCAAATAACCTTGTGGCCAAAATATTACACCTGAATTTTCATCTTGCAAAAATCAAAAGCTTCACTTTTGCAAGTCATCAGTGGGGAGCATAAAATAATTGTGGCAAAGTGATCGAGGAGAAAAAAGTTCATTAAGCAAACTGAATAAATTTGTAAAAAACCTAAGATGCATTGTGTTAGCCAATGTAGTTAACAGCAAATTTCATAAATTGTGAAGTATTCTCCAGGACATCGGGTCTTAGGCATACAATATCATATTTACAGGTTTCTCTAAAGTAAAGAATATATTTTACTAAAACTCAGTTAAAGCTAAAACAGGATACTGTTTATGTTAGTTTAGCATTCATGTTATATCAGCATCAAGACTTCTAAAACATTGTCAGACCCATCTGAGGTACAAGAATAAACTAGCTGTCCATTCCAAACAGATGAATGGCCTTTCCATAAATTCTCTTATACTTTTCTGAGTCAATTATTTTATCATTCATTTCTCAGGTATGACATATGCCACATTGAAAGTAGCCTGACATACTAATTTCATTCTCAAATCAAAATGTTAGAAACTAAGCAAACCAAGTTTGATTACTACAGGAAAATAGGCTAGACTGGGAAGTCAACAGACATCCTGGAAAGAATGCAAATAGTAAACCAAAAGCTTGCCAAAGAGGAAGAAACGGAAGAAAACAAAATGAAGAGTCCTTAGTGCTCTCTGAGCTTGCTTGTTTTCTTGCAGAGAAGCAACCTAGAACTAAGGAGAAACTTCCTGACAGAACAATTAACCAGTGGAACAACCTGCCTCCAGAAGCTGTGAATGCTCCAACACTGGAAGTTTTTAAGAAGAGACTGGACAGCCATTTGTCTGAAATGGTATAGGGTTGTTATTATTATTTCATTACCTTAACTAGGTAACATCATCATTGCTAGTAAGGAATGCTGTTTGCTGTCAGTCTATATTCTGGTGTCTTGTCTGTGTGGGTGGGGGCGATCTTAGGGATTCTTTGGTTGGGCTATTTACTAATGGCTCTGTGACAGTTTCTTGATTGTGGTATTGCTTACTTGATTGTTGGTCTGAAGTTGACCTTGGAGTTAATCTATGCTGATCTGAGTGCTGATTACTGGTGGTGATTACTACTGAGTGCTGATTACTACTTACTAGTACTGATGATGTTACTAGTTAGGGTAATAAAACATCTGAAGAAAACAAACAAGCTCAGAGAGCATCAAGGACCCCTCATTTCAACCCTAAGCTCCTTCATTGAAAACAAAGTGCACATCAGGAAAAAAAACAACTGGAAATTGCTGAGAAGAGGAAAAAAATCTTAAAAGGAACTTAAATAGTTTCAGAGAGCTGATGGAAGAGACAAGCAATATTACAACAACATGTAAAACATAAGATGGAAACACATGGAAAAAACATTAACAGGTTATGGTTTAAGATGTGTTAAAGCAGTGGTTCTCAACCTGTGGGTCGGGACCCCATTTGGGGTCGATCGACCATTTCATGGGGGTCGGCAAGCAAGGCTGTCCGCCATTTTTTTGTCCGCCAGTTTTTTCCCTTTTCCGGCGGGCGCCTTACCTCCCTTGGGCTGGGCCAGTTGGTGGTCGGCCTGCTCCGTCTCTGCCGCTTGCCAGCTATGCCTCGGCCGGCGCAGGGGGAGGAACCATGCATGTGCGGCGCTACCGGGCAGGGAAAGTCCTCGACTTACAACCGGTTGGGTAGTCCTCGACTTACGACCGGTTTAGTCCTCGACTTACGACCGGTTTAGTCCTCAACTTACGACCAGTTGGGGTCGCAGCATTAAAAAGGTTGAGAACCACTGTGTTAAAGGATAGGAGACATGTGGTGGCTCAATGGTTAAAGACACTGAGCTTGTCAGCTGGAAAGCTGACAGCCCAGGTTCAAGACCCAAGTGCCACGTGATGGTGTGAGCTTCCATTACTTGCCTCGGCTCCTGCCCACTTAGCAGTTCAAAAGCATGCAAGTGCAAGTAGATGAACAGGCACCACTGGTGGGAAGGTAACGGCATTCTGTACACCTCGGCGTATAATCATGCTGGGCACATGACTACGGAAATGTCTTTGGATAACTCTGGCTCCCTTGGCCAAGAAACGGAGATAGCACTGCCCCCCTAGAGTTGGAAACAACTGGATAGGGAAAACTTTTATCTTTACCTTATGACATCAGCATTCAAGACACCTTACAAGATATTCCCAATTTACAGTGGATATAAAAAAACTACACACCCCTGTTAAAATGCTCGGTTTTTGAGACATTAAAAAAAAGAAGATAAATCACTTTGGAATTTTTTCCATCTTTCCATCTGTACACTTTAACTGAAAAACAAACTGAAATCTTTTAGGGGAAAAATAATAAAAATGTACAATAGCGTGGTTGTGTGAGTGTGCACTTGCTTTAATTCTTTCTTGAAGCACTTTTTTATTTTTATGACAGCATTCAGTCTTTTGTCATCATGACACATCTTGCCTTGGGAATCTTTGCCAAGATTTTGAAGTGATAAATAGCTAATGCTTTAAGAATTAACCATCAGCAGTACAGAAGCATGCAGTCAAGAAATATGCCAGAGTGGTACTTGGCAGTGCAACCACGAAGACCTTGGAGAAGAGATTCAGATGCTGTGATGTGTCTATACCTACCAAGATCAAGATTATTTATTTATTTTTATTTATTTATTTATTTATTTATTTTTCATAATTTATATGCCGCCCTTCTCCCCACGGGACTCAGGGCGGCTCACAGCATATTAAAATAACACAATACAAACAACACACACAACATTTCCCCTATAAAAGCCAATTAAAACCAAATATTTGTAGCTGTGACATTATTAAAATCATTAAAAATTATCCCTATTTAAANTGTATTTTTGTATTCAGCTGCTTAATTTGTATTGCTTTTTTGTATTGATGTAATGACAGTAACATGTATTCATGTGTCTGGCATTTTTAACAAATTAAAAGAGTGAAATCTCTGACTTTCCACAGAGTCATGTGGTTTCCTTAGATATGTATGTGTTCACTTTGAGAGCAGGCAACTAAACTTCATTTTCGATGTGTGCCGTTTTGCCCACAGTAAAAAAAATGACGATAAAGGTTATCTTATCTTATATGTGATTTCATGAACAGAAAATTTCATGAATTTCTGCTGTAACTCTGACTTCTTATGTTGCCAACCACCTTTGGTGAAGACCATTTCAAATAACCTTCTGGCCAAAATATTACACCTGAATTTTCATCTTGCAAAAATCAAAAGCTTCACTTTTGCAAGTCATCAGTGGGCAGCATAAAATAATGGTGGCAAAGTGATCGAGGAGAAAAAAGTTCATTAAGCAAACTGAATAAATTTGTAAAAAACCTAAGATGCACTGTGTTAGCCAATGTAGTTAACAGCAAATTTCATAAATGTTGAAGTATTCTCCAGGACATCGGGTCTTAGGCATACAATATCATATTTACAGGTTTCTCTAAAGTAAAGAATATATTTTACTAAAACTCAGTTAAAGCTAAAACAGGATAATGTTTATGTTAGTTTAGCATTCATGTTATATCAGCATCAAGACTTATAAAACATTGTCAGACCCATCTGAGGTACAAGAATAAACTAGCTGTCCATTCCAAACAGATGACTGGCCTTTCCATAAATTCTCTTATACTTTTCTGAGTCAATTATTTTATCATTCATTTCTCAGGTATGACATATGCCACATTGAAAGTAGCCTGACATACTAATTTCATTCTCAAATCAAAATGTTAGAAACTAAGCAAACCCAAGTTTGATTACTACAGGAAAATAGGCTAGACTGGGAAGTCAACAGACATCCTGGAAAGTGCAAATAGTAAACCAAAAGCTTGCCAAAGAGGAAGAAACGGAAGAAAACAAAATGAAGAGTCCTTAGTGCTCTCTGAGCTTGCTTGTTTTCTTGCAGAGAAGCCACCTAGAACTAAGGAGAAACTTCCTGACAGAACAATTAACCAGTGGAACAACCTGCCTCCAGAAGCTGTGAATGCTCCAACACTGGAAGTTTTTAAGAAGAGACTGGATAGCCATTTGTCTGAAATGGTATAGGGTGGTTGTTGTTATTATTTCATTACCTTAACTAGGTAACATCATCATTGCTAGTAAGGAATGCTGTTTGCTGTCAGTCTATATTCTGGTGTCTTGTCTGTGTGGGTGGGGGCGATCTTAGGGATTCTTTGGTTGGGCTGTTTACTAATGGCTCTTTGGCCGTTTCTTGATTGGGGTATTGCTTACTTGATTGTTGGTCTGAAGTTGACCTTGGAGTTAATCTATGCTGATCTGAGTGCTGATTACTGGTGGTGATTACTACTGAGTGCTGATTACTACTTACTAGTACTGATGATGTTACTAGTTAGGGTAATAAAACATCTGAAGAAAACAAACAAGCTCAGAGAGCATCAAGGACCCCTCATTTCAACCCTAAGCTCCTTCATTGAAAACAAAGTGCACATCAGGAAAAAAACAACTGGAAATTGCTGAGAAGAGGAAAAAAATCTTAAAAGGAACTTAAATAGTTTCAGAGAGCTGATGGAAGAGACAAGCAATATTACAACAACATGTAAAACATAAGATGGAAACACATGGAAAAAACATTAACAGGTTATGGTTTAAGATGTGTTAAAGCAGTGGTTCTCAACCTGTGGGTCGGGACCCCATTTGGGGTCGATCGACCATTTCATGGGGGTCGGCAAGCAAGGCTGTCCGCCATTTTTTTGTCCGCCATTTTTTCCCCTTTTCCGGCGGGCGCCTTACCTCC